CACCCTTCCATTCAGATCATCCCAACACTGTCCCTAATGGCATTAAATATATACAAATTTGTCATTGAGTTCTGAACATGAGAGAGAGATGCTTCTTCCCTAAGCAAAAACATACACTAAATGTTTTGAGATACAACACTTAGTATTTATTTTGACACTGCCTAACTGACATTGCTGAAACACCTTCATACCTTCTAATGAATGTTCAATTCCATGGCCACGTTTCCGGTGGGGTTCATGAGTCACTTAGAATTCCATCTCAGATTTCTGTTCAGAGTACCACTTTTCCATAGACATCTTACAAGCGCTCTGTGCTCTGATTCAGTCATTTGAAGGATATTTTGCTGTCATTGATTTATAGCAACTCCACAAAAATGATGCAAGGAAGTGGAATTTTTCTAAAACAAAATTATTTTTGCCAGTGGCAATGTTTCCATTTTTTGTGGTTGGTTCATGCGGGTCTTTGATTTGCGGCTTTGGCTTATGCCACTTAGCAACATTCGGTCTTCAGTTTTGGTTATGTCCATCTGAACCATTTAATAACAAAACTGGAAGGGAATTTGAAAGGTCTTAACAATACTATCCCTTTATATGGGGCTTCCTCATAACTTTCCTCACCAAAGATGAATGTCCTTGTGCCACATGGACTTTTATTTTTATTTAGAGATGAAGAATTGAGGAACAGAGAAGATAAATAACCAATTAGAATCTGACCTCAGGTTTGAGGGCCACTAGTCCACTGAACTCTGCCTCAGCACTTTTATTCTGAAAACACATCTGGCTGGCAACTCTGAAGTATACTCCTGTTGTATGAAGTATAGTATGAAGTATACTCCTATTAAGTGTTTTAAGGGCAATTTGGATGTGGTAGGGAAAAAAAGTAAAATAGCACTACTGACTTGATGCAAGCAGTTAGTTCTTGCTGAAAGTTTACCACAGAGCATGGACATGGGAATTGATAATCTTGCAAGGTGCATGTGACCAGGAGCTGAACGTTACTGTGTAGGAAACCAAGAATTTTCTTCTTTGCTATTATTATTTGTTAACATGCACTTCTTACTAAAATTTGTATGGCTTAAATATTAATAAGCACTAATTCACTTCATTATTTATTCTGAGCTTCCCTTTAGAGTATAGATGTGTTTTGGAAAGCATATGTTTTTATTTTAACTCACATCTTTGAATGAGTCATGATATATTTAAAGAGAGTTGTTTTTTGTTTTCTTTTTATTTGGGGTAAATATTTGGGGTCTTAGAGTGACTTAAAACATTTTTGCAGTTAAATAATATGGGGAAATGAAGCTATTTATTTTTGTACACAAGAGAAAACATCTACAGGAATGTCTAAATATTTTATGGGCATACAGGATTAACAAGGGGAAAAGGGGGCACCTGGGTGGCTAAGTTGGTTAAGCGTCTGCCTTCGGCTCAGGTCATGATCCTGGAGTCCCGGGATGGAGTCCCACATCGGGCTCCCTGCTCAGCAGGGAGTCTGCTTCTCTCTCTGACCCTCTTCCCTCTCATGCTTTCTATCTCTCATTCTCTCTCTCAAATAAATAAATAAAACCTTTAAACAAAACAAAACAAAACAAACAAACAAACAAAAAACAAGGGGAAAAGGTACAGGGTAGAAGTAATATAAGCCTGAAAGGAGTGGAACAGTGCTGTCAGGAGGCCAGTTTCTGGAAAGCTATGCTGAGTTTCCACGCTTTAATGAATTTGCAAATTACAGAGGGAAGCTTATAATGGTGGAGACATCACCTGGCATCATGCAGAGTAAAGAATATGCAGTGGATGAGAAAACAGAACCCTTGAGTTTGGGGTTTAGTTCTGCTACTACTAGCAGTGTGACTCTGGCATGTCACCTAACCTCTCTGAGATCCCTTTTCTGTATCTCTAAAGCAAGTGAATGTGAATCAATTTTACGGTCCTTTTCAGCTCTTATATAGGAAAAAGCAAGTTTTTCCATTTAGGGTTACATATCTGACACTGATTATAATCCAAAAACTGGATTTTGAGATCCTGGATAAACTAAGTTTTGTAAAAACACACTGAAGATGTAGTTAAGGGCATTTAGGAGCTAGCAGACCAAGGTTCTAGACCAGGCTTTGAAGCAGTCAGTGACTTTGAGCAAATTTATGCATTTCTCTAGGGATTAGGTTTATTTTCTCCATGTGCCAGGTGAGCTAGATGGTCCCTGAGTTTTCTGTCAGCAATAACACTCATTATTCTCTTTGCTTTCTTCCAGTAAAATAACTCAAGGAAATACAGTTTCAGTTTCCAAAAATTTCTATGAGGAGTTTTTACAGGGATTTACCAGAATGAATCAAATATAGAGGGGCTTTCCATGGAAATTATTCTGAAAAAGACCTGTCCCTTTTGAATGAAGATTTATCAGACTTTATGAAAACTGAACATAAATAAAAACCTTAGGTAGTTTCTATTTTTCTATAGGCCATCATCTATTAAGAGGAAGTGAAGTTTGAGGAAGAGCAGATGGTTGGGATGTGTAGCTCATACTAATTGGACAAAGTGGAGGACTAAAACAATTTTTAAATGCTTACATATTTATGATCAATATGACATGAACTGTGAGTGCCCTATTAAAGACAAAAACTTTTAAACCAACCATTTATCTTTTCTCTTTAAAATGTAAAGCACAAACTTGCAAGGACTAGAAATACTTTATTCGATGGAATCATTCAAACAGATGAGAGTTAATTCATGTTTTTCAAGTGCTATCACCATTGTAACTTTACGCAGATAAACCTTAACAATCATTATTAATGTTGTTTACATCTTAATTGGTTTGTTTAAATTTGGTTACAATAAATTGTCATTTTTTACTTTTTATGAAGTAGTTTTTATAATGACAGCGAAGAAACAATGATATAATGTAGAAAAGCACTCAGAGGAAAAATTAGTGCCACATCCAAAAGTATTATTTCAGAAATTTATTTTGACATCATTTTTGTATTAAGATATGTTGTCATTGTCCACAGTACATCTGTGAGGTATCAGGTTGTTTGTCTTGATCCCTATTTCACACATAGGGAAACAAGCGTAGTACATTTAGGAAGTTTTCTAAGGGCACACATTGTGTCAGGACAGTACTCAGAATAGAATTTATTTCTGATATTTTTCTTACACAGTCCAATGTCTAACATGGTGCCCTAGAAAACGTAAGTACTCAATAAATATCCATTGAATGAAAGAATGGATAAACCATTCTATGAGATCTAAACAACTGTCGTATTTGCCCTTCTTCATTAAATTGGACAAGTTGTAGGAGCAGTTGAGCAATAAACTTTATCCACTGTCCTACCCACAAGTTTCCATTGCTACATGAAGGGGCTTTGTAAGATAATACCATCTGGTCAGGCCTGAAGTCAGATACTCCAGGTCCCCCAAAAGAGTGTCATTAATCTTGATTCATTATAACGTTGGCTTTTGTAGTGTGAGTTAGCAGACACTAGCATGTGCCTGAGACTAACTCTTTTCACCAAGTCACTGAAAATCCATTATTGATACTGAATGTGTTCTTGATGCCCTAGCCTAATGATATTTTAGTAAAACAGTGTTCTAAATTGGACTTAAAGAATTTAGATAGTTGCAGTCCTTGAAAATAAATCACTTGGCTAGTATTGGCTCTGGTTACCCTACCAGAGGGTAATTACAATTCCAGAAAAGATAACTTATTTCCTGAGTTAATTTGTCATAGGTTGAGTTGCAACTGTAAACATGATAAAGGTCACATTGGCATAACTTTTAACATTGATAGAAAAATGTGGTAAAGAACATAAGTGTTCATATCACCGGTAGACAAAAAGATGACAAAACCAAAATAGTCATTCCCAGTGATGCATCATCAAATAAGTTAAAGATTGTCATTCATTTCATTGGCACTGATAACCACTTACCTAAAAAACAAGTAAGACATCTCATGAAGCACTTAGGGTTAAAATGCATTTCTTTAATTTTGATGACATTCATTTATTTATATATATATATATATTTGTTAAAATGTATTTCTTTAATTTTGAGGACATTCATTTATATATTTATTTATATATATATGTATTTTTTTGAGAAAGAAAACCTATTTAACTGCACAGAAAGATCCTATTAAAGTGAAATTAGATACTTTTGCATCTGTCACCCAAATTTAGTGATTGATCTAAAATTTCACCCAGGTGACATTTTCCTGAGGGCATAGTCTGGAGAAATCTGAAAATACTACATCTCATTTGCGTTTATTTTAAACAAATGATTCACCAGACCTGCCTAACTGGATGGTATATTTCCACTGGAGTGAATGTCCTAATTGTAATTCAATACAAATCTTAGAGATAAGATTTATCAGACATTTCTACTCCATCTTATCATGTCCAAAGTTCAGAGATATTTTGAATTCTATCTAAAAGAGCATCACAAGGAACTTACAGCACTCTTTGGTGCAACTATTACCCATTCTTAGATCATTACCACAACTGAAATAGAAAGAGACATAAATAAAGTTAAACTATTAAACATCACCTTAGTGGGCAGATTGCGTTTAGAGATCTACACGATAAAGAGTAGCTTTTGTATAAGCTCCTTACTCTTTAAACTGAAAGCATAGTCTGTGTTGTCATTTAGAAATATACCTAACTGAAATCGGAATTCCATTTTATAATTGTGTCAATTATGTTTAAAAGACCATTATTAAGTAAACTAAATTAACCTGTGAGCAACCCTACAGTGAGTAGAAATAGAAAAATATAAGCATCCACGCCTAGCAACAAACACAAATAACAGATTCTTGAGTGCCAGATCTTTCAACATGTTTGCTTATCATTCAATCCCCTTGCTCACACTTTCTCTCTAGACGAGGCAGAAGAGTAAAACATCTTCAGAGAAATTCCCCAGATTCATGATTTCAATTGCCTATGCCACTGCAGACAAACAGAAGATTCTATTTTCAAAGTCTTAAAGCACTTGTAAGGATCCTGCGTGTGTGTCTATTGTCCTTGTTGCTTCTGTCCTGGAGAACTTGGCTGGTCAGTGCTCTCTCCAGGACGGTGTGCAGGAGTGACAGGAAACTGAAATCCATAGCCATTGTATCCATCCAAGTAGACGCACTGGAAGAAACTGATGGGGCCTATGGAATAGAGCATGAAAACTTGTTAAAACAAGGAGAACACAAGTAGGAACAAAGGTGAAACAGACAGATAGTACAATGTAGGTGGACAGTTACATAGCCTTGACAATAACAAGAAAGTCAATAAACCTCATTGTGTCTTGGATTCCTCGCGTAAAATCAAAACAATAGCAAAAGCTTCCTAGAAATGTTCTGGAAATTAAATCAGTAAATATATGTGAAGCACTTGAAATCTTTCCTGGCACATAATAAGCCCTTCATAAATGATAATAAAAATGATCTGGCATAGAAAGTCAAAGTACTTACATTCTAGGAAGCTATTGATGTGCACTGCACTCAGAAAAACTGTTGGATAGTAACAGATTTTAAAGCATGAGCTTATCGATATGCAAAGTAACTGATTTTTTTTCTTTCAGTGTTTTAATAAAACCACAGAGAGTCTTGTGGTTCCTAGAGTCTTGAGGTTTTCCACTTGCCCTTACTCTGGAGGCAAGTGCTCTCCTGAGATGGCAGAGTTACATTCCGATTATGCTTCCAGGTAGCAGCTCTGCCCTCAGAGCAGCAACAACACAGAAAAGGTGTTAAAACAAGCAAGGCAGTGTAGTGCAGTGGGTGTGAGCTTGAGCTGCCAACGTTCCCCATCCTCCCAGGTAGCAGCTTTGTTAAGAGATGGTGACTTTAGCTTCTCCAAACAATCATGGGCACCTACTGACTCTTCAGTGTTTTCCATTTTATTTATTTGCTTCTGTTAACGAACCACTTTTTGCCTATGGCCAGGAAAGAGAATGACCGTTGAAGTGACTGCTACGTGGAATATGGTGAAGCTGGCCAAATTCATACGAGCCTAAAGGCTTATGAAGTGGAATAAAGTAAAGGTTGGGTAGAAAGCAGCTGAAGGAAGCAACAAGGGATTATTTTGATTTCATCTCCTTGGGTGTCAGCTGACTTGAATCACTCGTTTTCAGTGATGAAAGTAGTTTGGAGAAATCTTGAATTTAGTTCTTTCCTCTCTACTTCATCTCATCCAGAATTCTTTTTTTTTTTTCATTTTTTATTGTTATGTTAATCACCATACATTACATCATTAGTTTTTGATGTAGTGTTCCATGATTCATTGTTTGTGCATAAAACCCAGTGCTCCACGCAGAACGTGCCCTCTTTAATACCCATTACCAGGCTAGCCCATCCCCCCAACCCCCCCAGAACCCTCAGTTTGTTATTCAGCATCCAACATCCAGAATTATTATTACTATTACTATTAGTATTTAGTTCTAGCTTCAGAGAGAAGCAGTAACACAACCTGCCCCCACCCCCGAAGTTGACCGCTTGGGGATTTGATGGGCTACTGACAGAATGGCAAAAAAGCTGGGCTGCGTCAAGAGGAATGGTAGCACCAGTGCTAATAGCGGAAGAGTCCAGCAGAGAGAGGCTAACTTCCAGCTGAACCTAGCAGACATGGGCACAGTTCTGACACATCTACTTAATTGATGTTGATAGGCTGTTAAGGAAAATATCATTATAGTTGCAAATCTTAGAGCTTATATAAAAGACTCAGGAATATCAGACTATAGAACTACCTTATAGTAGGGTGAAAATAGGAAGTATTGTTTTTCTACAGTAACTCTCCCAATTGAACTTAAATATTTGGTAACTTTTTTACTAAAAATATTGAATTGATTTATTTATAGATTTTTCAATAATATTGAAAAGTGTTGTTAAGACTGCTTATTTCCCCATATTTCTCACAAGATATTGGTATGAGGAGTTATAAATGACTATCTCTTGCCTGTTGCAATGACCCCAGCATTAAAGCAGACCTTGGAACATAGTAGGCACTTAATATTTGTTCAATGAATCAAGTATTAATGCAGAGTAGGAGGCATTTGCTATTGTAGTGGGCATTTTAGTAATTTCCTACAGAAATACATTAAAGAAACATTTAGAATCCAGAGAACATTATTGATGTCATTTCCTCAGATAAATGTCTATTCTTTACTTTAAAATCATTATGTGAGGGGTGCCTGGGTGGCTCAGTCGGGTGAGTGTCTGCCTTTGGCTCAGGTCACGATCTCAGGGTCCTGGGATCCAGCCCGTGTAGGACTCCCTGCTCAGCGGGGAGCCTGTTTCTCCCTCTCCCTCTGCCCTTACCCCCCACCCCTCGTGTTCTCTCTCTCTCTCTCTCAAAAAAATAAATAAAATGTAAAAAATTAAAAAAAATAAAACAAAATCATTATGTGAAACAAACTTCTGTCATAACTATTTCAAACATTGCTTCCTTTAGTCTGTCCAGCAATGACGTTAATGCAAATGTGAATGCAAAATGTATTGTTTTACCATTTGAAGAAAAATGTATAATTTGGAAGTACCAGAATAATGAGAATCTTGGATATTGAATTTTGTAACTGCACATGAATGTTGATTGCATTCTAAAATCAACAATCCCAAAGATTGAATATTAAGAGCCTGCCATATATCTGGAAAAACCAAAAAGGACTTTCAATCTTAGAAGCGAGTTTCTACGCAATTGAATCGCTGAATCCTATTTCTACATTTTTTTTCTTTTTGGTATAAAAAAGTTTAGCATATCACTTCAGCTGTCTTATTACAAAGCAGACAGTAACATACATTTAAGCACAAGTTCAGTTAGAGTGCTCAGGATCACAGCTGTGTAAAACGTTTTGCAAAACTGCCACTTCAGTCCGTACTTTGTAATTCTTCCAAACATGTGCCTCTTGCATGACACAAAGAGGGATGAAATTCTTTTTGAAATATAAATGACCTACTTTAATGTTATTCTTCATGTCTGTGCTAAACATATTTTTTTTCTAATACTGGCCTTCTTAAGAGTCTTGAAGTGTCAATTTATAGCTACTACCTCTAATAGAGAATGATTCCATAGTTTTAATGTAATTATAAACTTACTTTTTTGCCTCTTTGTGGAAGACACATCTTCAGCTTCTTCTAGTGGATACAAAAATATGAAGGTAAATAATGTGTACATTCCCAGCTATCACACAAATACGTAGGGACCTGAAAATGTCTAAACAGATCCACAATATGAAAGAAACAGGAGTTAATGCCCTCCTTATAATATACACTAGGTTCTTATTTAGATTCTGCTCAATCTCTCACTATAATGTTTTATAGGTGAGAACCAGGGGCAGAAGAGGAGACAGTGGAAGAAAAGAATGTGGTGTTTGACCGGCAATTGTTCAAATAGGAAAACGGGTCCTGATGTGTTGGATGTTAGTGGATTAGAGCTAGTTGACACACATTTCTTTCTTAGAAAGGTCATTGATGTTCAGAGTTATAATATGGTAAGAGTGAGCTGGCTAAATGATGAATAGTTCAGTCAAAATCATTCTAAATTTTTGAGGAACTTAACTTTTTAGTGATCACTCTGGCCAAGAAAGAATATCAATAGACGGGTGTCCTCTATCCTTCTTTTTCTCATCTGGCTCAAGGACTTCTCTGCTGCAGTGATACACACCATGTAGATATGCTGGATAAATTGAAGCTATCTATTTGGACCCCTTTCTCTAAGTTAGAAGTTCTTCACTGGTGTCCATATTTAGGCTTTGGGGGGTGGTTTTTTGTAAAACTCTGAAATGTTAGGAAGATGTGAGTGTGTGTGTTTCATTGAAAGTTAGGTTTTAGATTTCATCAAGTTCTAAACGTGTTCAAGGACCTTTCTTCTCAAACTATGATCCACATACCAAGAGTTTCACTATTACTTGGAGGCTGATATAAAGGTAGTTCTTAGGCTCCAACCCAAATTTATTCCATTCTAAGAAGATTGTCAGAAGATTTATATATAATATAGTTTGAGAATCTCAGCAATGGTCTAGAAGTTGAAAACATATTAAGAGTTGTGGTTTTTAATAATTCAAGTTGAAAAAAATCTGAAAATTCAGTATTCAAAAACATATCTTAGGACAAGTGTAAATCATTTAATAAAACTCAGGTGTCCATTCCCTTATGTCTTTCCTCAAAGCACTATTTTCTACACTGTTAATTAATTCTGGGCACTGCTATACTACTTATATTTTCATGGCAAGAACAACTCTTAGGTGAACTCTATTATGTACAGGAAAGTAGAATAGAAAATATTTATTACATAACAAGCCAAACTAGAGGGCCAGGAAACCCTTCAGGGAAAACACACACACACACACACACACACACACACACACACACACACACATCAAATTAGTTGAAACCTTTACAATACAGATAAAGAAATTTAGTCCTGAAAAGACTTGCTCAAGATTATTCATCTGGTTGTGGTACATTTTTCTGAGGTTTGTCTTTGCTTCCTCTCTCCCTCCCTTCCTTCCTCTCTGTCATCACAGGTAGTATAGGCAAATAATTTCAAATTTTCTTAATAAAAATACGTCGCGTGCCTGGTTGGCTCCGTCAGTTAAGTGTCTACCTTCGGGTCAGGTCATGATCTCAGGGTCCTGGGATCCAGCCCCGCATGGGAGGGGGTCCCTGCTCAGAGGGGAATCTGCTTCTCACCCCCACCCTGGTCATGTATGTGTGCACTCTCCCTCAATAAATAAAATCTTTAAAAAAATACGTCAACTTCATCTTTGAACACTTATGTGGTCCTCTTCCTGTCAAATAACATCCCCACAATTCTTGGTTAATTGATAATTTTGAAGTATTGTTCTTATAAGCAAATTGGACAAGAAATACGTCTAATAATCACTTTCAGATAAACCAGTGTCCAACTATGTGCAGATATGCATTATATATATATTTTTCCAAATAATGTAAAAAAGCTATTTGTTTAAAAAATAAGGTTACCAACTAAACATTACTTAGGAAAAGCTGAGGACTAGATCAAGAATAGTTTAATAAAACAGACAAAACATTACAGGTAGCCTTAACAGAAAATTCATAAATATAGTGAAGATCATGAGCTCACCTTTAGCTTTCTTTGAAGCTGATACATCTTCCAAATCTTCTCCTAGAGAGTAAAGAAAGGACACATGAATCTATAGTCTATTTTCCAGATTTCCCAAAGAGGAAATTTTATATTTAAAGATTTTTGAGTCACAGGATATCTTACTCTATGAACTCAGCATCTAGTGTCACTATGAACAAAAACTTCAGGACAAACAAGGCAACATCTCTGACGGAGGAAGGTGGGGAGGAAATGGATACCATGCCAGGTTGTGGTCAGCAGGCTGGCAAAGGCTGACTACGGAAAGAAGGGCCAGCAATGACTCCCAAACGTGACTCTCCTCTCTGATTCCTAAATCTCCTTCCCCAAACCACGAGTGCTTTTGGAATTTAGGAAATTTGAGGTAAATAGCTTCATATCCACAAGCTGGATCATGAGAAAAATATCCACGCACATATTTTATTAGTGGACTGATTAGATTTTAGTCTTTTGACAGTTATATAGGCAATTAAAAGACATTAAAAGTTGAACCAAAGCTCAATACATAAACAATGACTCTTAAGGTACATTATGTGAATTACTTGGTGTTTTGTGTACAGGTACATATGGAATAATGTGGAAGAAATTTTAAGTTAGAGATAATTCTAAGACAATACAACTAAATGATCTTTAAATATTCACATCAACCTTTTAGCATTCGTGATGATCTGAAAGAGGGTTGGTTTTCTAATATTTATCCAGATTTTGCATACCAGCTGCTCACTGATAAATAGAAAAGGGGTAAAATAGGTCAGTATGCAAATTTTCTCTAATAAGAAAGAAATGTGACCTTTAGGAAGAGATGTTATTATGTAAAAGAACAAAATGGGAAAAAATTATTAGCATTTTCTTGCAGTGAATATTTTTAAACTATTTATTTAAAATTTTATTTTTTTAATTAACAACCTTGGGGGAAAAGTCACATCAGGACTCAGAGGCAAAGACCGAAACCCCAAAATGGCTTTTTTATGGTTTTGTTTTTCTTGTCAGGCTGGAGCAGAGTTTAAATGCAGGCAAGAGCCACTCCAGCTCTGGCCACGTCTTACTCTCTACATCAGGGTCTCAAGTATGTTGGTTGCAAACTGGCTTCACTTCATTCAAGGACTTAGCTCAGGGCATTCATGACTTCCCCAGTCTGAGCATCCTTTGCTCCTGCCCTTGGCAGTGTCACTTAACTGTGGACTGGAGGATCCACTTGGTCCACAGCAGTGAATTATTAAAATTTCAACCCGATTGGTTTAGAAATATTTCAATATAAGCTTAACTCAATTAAATATTGGATTAAATAACCGTGGTCTTAAACTTCTCAGTTAGCAGCTATGAATAAGAAAAGGTATAAATGGGTACATGATATTTTGAAATACCCCCAACGATATTTTTAAAATGATGCCAGAGTTTTTAGAAGAGTCAAATAATAGTTATATTTTCATTGCGTAGCAAGAATCTGCTAGTTTCTATGGGCGATGTTTATAAAAGTAAAATAATGCCAGGTTCTTACACACAAGAAATATAGATTTTATTTTTGTAGGTTATAGCACACTTAAGACTAAGTTACTTATTCTTTGGATCCATTTGTTATCCCTGCAGAAATGAATATGGGTAGAATAAAAACCTTAGCTTCTTCTCTTTTCCAAATTCTGTATTCTCACCCAGCATAAACCAGCTACAAGTGATAAAAGCTGGTAAGAAGTGAGTCACATGTCAATTGCTCAGGCTAACAGGGAAAACCGAGACACAAGAAGGCAAACTGCAAGCCCAGGGCAGTTGCTATAGAGATGCAGTCTCTTTGTACGCAACTTAACAGCAACAGAAATTTACTGAACTAGGAATAATGAATGTACTGAGATTGTCACTGTTCAGAATACAAAAAAGAAACAGCATACTTACAGTTCATTTACTTTTATAACTTGTGCATTGATTAGATGAGTGTGGTTTGGATAAAACATGTATTTGACTCTAAAAAGGTATAGTCATTTCCATAAAAGAAGTATCAACACGTGCCAATGGAATTTTAAGGTGCGACTTGCTTTTTTGGGAGGGATAGTCAGGAAAATATTTTATGAAGTCTAATTTATTTTTTATTTTTATTATTTTCCCTTGGACGGTTTACCTGAGGAAGTATACTTAAGATGAGATGTGGAAAAAGTCAAGAAATATCAATATATAACAGCTGCATCCAATTTTGGAGTTGAATAGGAGAGATGTTTTGATTTTTTGTTAAATTTGCACAAGAATAAGGAACGTGATGTTTTACTTTCGTAAGTTTTTAGGGTCAGATCAGTGCAGATACCCCACTTGAGTCTGAAAAATAAACAATTCAAGCTGCTAAAAGTGAATAATTTGATATTTGTTGCCTTAAAAGTCTCTGAGCTGGACAGTGCAGCCTTTAAGCCAAACAGGGATGACAAAGGTTCTTAAGTCTAAGGACAATGACTGGGAAGCAGAATCAGATAATGAGTTAGAGGCCTTGGGGTTCTGTGATAAGCTGAGTGTACCTGCATCATTTGAGAAAGAGAGGGGAAGGAAGAATTACCCATATCTTATCACTGAAACATCACAGCTATTACAATATTGATTTTTAGAAAATGATTTGTATACCTTGTACAATTTTAGAGCACAATGAATTTTATTTTCTGCACATATCCCTTAATAAATGGTATCTTTTCATTTAAAAAGTGTTCAAGAAGGGAATCATATTTTAATGTATTTTGTAAAAATAACCAGACTAGAATATGAGAAAATGGATTCAGAGAAAGAAATTGGGAATGTATTTTATTGGTCAACATAGAAACAATGATTTCTGTGACTGGAAGTCACTGAAGGAGTTGAGTGTAGATGAGGCTTTGTAGGTAGAGTTAAATGGGATTGAGTACATGTGAATGCAAGAGCTTAATACAATAAGGGATCACATAATGCATTTTTTTTTTTTTTTTGAGTTTGGAGGAAGATAGTGGTGCCATTCCCAGCAACAAGGAAATCCCAGGAGGCACTCATTAGCTGGGGATCATGAAAAGTTTAATTTTCTAGGAGTCCAATTGTGGTGTTAGCTGGTCATGAAATTGCAAGTGTCTAATAGGAAGAAAGACAGAAGGCAGGATGTCTGGAAAAGTTTAGAAGTGACATGAATTGAGTTAATAGGCAAAACTGAGTGAGTTGAGTGGTCACTTTTAATGATAGCAATGATATTTGATATTTCTTAACACCATCGGCTGTGCCTTATTATTTCATATTTCTTAGCACATTCAATTCTGACAACTCCTTTGTGAGGTAGTTGCTCTTACTTTAAATCTTCTGTACAGATGGGGCAGAGAGGGGTTAAGTGCTGTCCAAGGTCACAGAGTGAGTTAAGTGGCAGGAATGGACCATAGACCGCAATCTACCTAAATCAGAGCCACTTGAATAAGGATTTATATTTATTTCGCAAATAGTATACCTGGTATGTGTCAGCCACTGTTCTAAGCACTTTATGAAGAATAACATATTTCACTTCCTCGGCAAATCTGCGAAGAGGGTATTATTACTATTCCCACTTTGTAAGTAGGACAGTTGAAGGCTGGAGACTCAAGTTCCCAGAGCTAGTTATTGGGGAAAACTGGGATTCAGACTCAGGCATTCTGGTTCTAGAGATTGTGTTATTAATCACTGTGCCATTCTATCCCTTGAGGATGGCCTCTTAAACCCAGTTCTCTCTGATCCTAGAACCTATGCATTATATTGCTGGCTGCATGAATTATTAACTTGTACAGAGCAGAGATGGAGTGTCCCTCCTCCAACAATCCATTCTCCTTCAGAGGAGTTACTTAGCTGTATTTGAAAATGATAATGACAATGAAGGAGGAAAATATATCTGTTCTGTTTGCATAAACACTGTAATTTAGGCAATCATATTCCAAACAATTAAGAATGAAAATATTATCCTGACTTTCAAATTGTAGACTCCATTCTTTACTTATATAGAAATTTAGATTAAAAAAAAAACTTAGATTCAAAAGGAATCACAAATAATTATGAATCCCCTTTCTTATCAAATTCAGACATCTCTACTATAACAGAGTCACATGGGAGGTCTTGTCTGTGTGGCTACCGTTTCAGTCTTCTAAACATTTTGATGTCAAAGTCTGGCTTTCATATAACTCTTTTATACTTATTGAATTAAGGCTACAGACACAGGGTTCTTAGACAATTATTAGTTTATGAAAATAATAAAATTATCATGATAAAGAGGTTTAAATTTTGTATTTTCAAGTAGTGCTCAGATCTTTTCATTAACTGAAGGAATTTCTTCTTTGTCTCAATTCCACAATCTGCCTCATTTGACATGAGTCTGTTCCAATACTTAAATATATGTATATACATTTATAAACATTTAAATTTATGAATATAATATGTATATATGTGTGTGTGTTATTCTGTGATTGAGTGTAATACCCTGAAAAAAAATCAGAAATTCTCTTTTCCCTTTGCCTGAAAGTATTCGCTGAGCTCCAAGTCTGATCCCCAGCATGGATCAAACAGAGAGTCAGAGCAGGATGGGACTTTAGGAAAGTTCAGGAGATAAGTCTGTCTGTATGGAGTCAAGGGTAGCCTGGGTTCCATGAGGCAGAAAACAGATAAAACTTAAACAGCCAATATCTTGGCATTAAGGAGATTGAGTGTGTGTGTGTATGTGTGTGTGTGTTCATATACCATACAAATATATATGGATATATATGGATATATATATTTATATAGCATTGATATGAACACTAAGTAAAATTTGACTGGAGGGGAATTCTAAGAACATGAAAAAATGTGGAGTCTAGTCTCAGTTCAATGATAGGTATGGTGTATAATTGCATATATTTTTATTTTTTATTTTTCTTAAAGATTTTATTTATTTATTTGACAGAGAGAGCGAGAGAGCACAGGCAGGGGGAACAACAGAGGGAGAGGGAGAAGCAGGCTCCCCGCTGAGCAGGGAGCCTGATGCGGGGCTCCATCCCAGGACCCTGGGATCATGACCTGGGCCGAAGGCAGACACT